ATCATTCGGAGTTGAGAGTGGCGGTAATTGAACAGCTCCTGATAGTTTTGTGGTGCAGTCCGGCCACGAGCCCACTCTTGGATGTGATAACGGAAGCCACGGTATGGTGCTAAGATGCCATTACCGTTTGCATACGCTGCATCACCTAGATAGAAGCGTCCTGGAAGAAAAAAAGGACCAAAGTGAGGTGAGAAGAAAAGTATGAAAATGAAACTATGAAATGAGAAAAAAACATACCTTCAGGAATGACAAAGTCACCCTCATGCCTAGCAGCGTATAGTACATCGGGATCGGATGTACTTCCTTCAAAACCAGCAAGTATGAATGAAAAGGTGAGATCAAAGGAGCATGCTGCCAGAACATTCTGGGTGAGCAACCCCTTTTGATTTCGATACGGAGTCTGATCGGCGACCGCCGCTCTCACCGGGATATGAGTGCCGTCAAGAGCACCAATACACCCATCAAAGAACGGTGAGTATCGGTTGTTTTCAGCGATGCGGTCAGGGATAGGGTATTCAGGCCCCGGTTGAGTGATGATTTCGTCTTTCAAGCTCTCAAGAACGTCAAGAACTTTGTTGTAGTATCTGGAAATGGTTTCGCCAGAATGTGGCCATCGTTCAGCTGCAGTGAGGTTGGTAGACGCATTTCCAACTATATATAAAAATATCATAAATTGTTCATTGGCTGATATATGAATTGTATCGTCAAGATGTGGCTGTAGAATCTTCATGATTGACTTGAAGGTGGCTTTGTCCATGCGCAAAACTTGTCGGAAGCGTCCTGGATGTCCTTCAAGCAGTTCTCTTTCGTAGAGAAAACCCCGAAGAGCCGAGGTGTGATAAGGTTGTTTTGGAAGCCCTCGTCGATAAGCAAGATTACGAGCGTGCTCGAGAAGAAGGTTGAGGACAAGGTCATCGTCATCTTCGTCGGATGAAGGCCAGGGTGATCTTAGATTGATACTTGAATCAGAGTCAGAGTCCGTATTGGACATCTTGGAAAAGGTAGATGTGATGGATGTGAAGGTGAGATGAGGTAATTTCGGAGGTTGTTTGGGTTTGCTACCAAACGTGATCTTGGAAAAAGGGATCCAGATTGAGATTTTTTCGAAATTTGAGATTTTTCGACAAAATCTCAATCGCCCCGGGGCGAAGTCACGGACCCCAAATTGAGGTTACCTGTTGCAATCGCAACCAAACGTGCCCTAACCTAGCACGTTATCTTTCAACAACAGAGAAGATATATGTTAGTATACTGTAGAGTCTCAAATAGAGTTATACCAAAGTTTTACCATGGTCCACCGTAGTTCTACAGGGACGAGTTGGTCAAGCTCTGAGCCGGGTGGTTTCCAACAGAGAAATCTCTGAAGGATAGCCGGTGTTTCAAGACACAGGGATACTGTCAACTTTATGTTGCAGTACCAGTGGTACGTGACCAAGATTGACACTAACCTACGAGTAGGAGTAGTGCAAGAGTGGGGTATTATCCAAGGATAATAAGGAGAATTGGTGGATAGGTAGAAAGGAAGGTGGTGAGAAGTTTAACTCACAATTTTCCAGAATCAGTAAGGAATAAGTCCTCTTTAGTTAGTGGTTAACTGTTTCAAGACTTTTGATACTGATGATTCTGACTCTTCTCCAATATCAGGTTTTATCATAAGCTGGTATGAGAAGGTGAGTCCTTTTGAAAGTTTGCGACTTCACTCCTCTTTTATACTCGCAACTGCTGTGAGGCTGACTCATGGTTACTATCCTTCTCTTAGAAGTTTTACCGGCCAGCTTGTGGTGCTAACTTATGATTCATGTCAGGAGAGGCCAATTGGTGGTATGAGGAATTGTTGTTTGTAATACCTTTCCACTTTCGGAAGCTTCATATTAAGTTTCTTGACGCTTTGGGAAGGAATGTCTTTTGTTGGGTTTTCTGGGTTTTAGACTCTTGGGGCTGATTAATCTATATTATTGTTTGCTTTGTGTTACATTGGTTCTTTGTGATTTCACTTGGTTACTCAAGTATAGTTGTCCGTCTTTGATACTAAGACACAAGATGTATATATGTCAGAAGGTCATTCTTTTTGTCTTTGAAATTAGATGTGAAGGTGTGATAGTTATTTTTTGATTTAATTAGATTTAAATATATTTGTATTTTATTATTTATTATTGAAGCTCTTTTGGCTTTTGCTCTGCAAAAGCTTGAGGGCTGACACCATGTAGCTTGATTGTACAAGTATTGATTAGGCCACATTGTAGACGGTATTGTAACTGAAGTGAACTCTAAGAGATAACAGATAAGATGGATAACTTAGAAAATGCAGTTTCAGAATAAAATGTAAGAAATACTTAACAATAATTAACCTTGAAATAAAACATCCTTGTAGTGAATGAGGTTTTGATAGAGATCACAGGTTTTTATCTTTGGGTTTTTTTATAAAATTTGATATTCTTGCTTGAATGTCAGCATTTTGAGCGTTTGGGAACAGATACATGAACCTGTGATTGGATTTGCAAAAAGCCATAGAATTATCCCCTCTCTGTCCTCTCTGAGTTATTTTTCTCCTAAATTTGACCCTGGCCCTCCCTGGCCTTGGGCCCTCAAATTCGGGGTGTGCCCTGTCCGGCCCAGATCAATTTTCATAGGCCTTCTGGAGGACCCCGGAGAGCTCCTATCAAGGCATATGATGTACAAAAATTTCTTCCACTACATACCCTTCATTGGAGTTTGAATTTGTAAAAAGTTGATGCATTTCCTTGCTCTTTCCTCCACAAGGCCCAGCAAGAAGCAAGGGGCTTGGTCAATTTTGGATTCCATCGCAATACAAATATGAAGATTTTTTTACAAGCTATGAAATTCACAGCAATTTGCAGCAAACATAAGGAAATATTTTTTTACATTGTGTGCCTCGATAGTAGCTCTCTAGGGTCCTCCTTTGGGTCCGCCCAAGGCCAGTGGGTGTTCCGGGGCCGGCTCTCAACTTACAGGGTCGGGTTGTAGCCCTATGTACCTCACACCGGGGGAATAAATAGGTCCGAGACCCGATTGAAGAAAGTTGTGAACCCGTCACCACAACTTTCTTCAATCACGGATCTCGTTTGCATTACGTTTGCATTACGGTGGCTGACCCTGGCTGACCATCCTTGAGCAAACCCCCAAAAGAGAGATGAATCTGGGATGCAAGTGTGAGTCTACTCAGACTCAGTCGCTCGGTGCCACGCTCGGGGTACTCAACATAGGAACTCAGTCCTTGGTGCCACGCTCGTGGTACTCAAGTTGAGTACCGATGTAGTCAGTCACAGTTTGAGTACAGTACTCTGACTGAATTTCACCACAGAGTATAACTTGCGCATGGGACTCACTACGGCCCCGTCCGCAAGTACTGAACGTGTCAAAGTACTCACTAACTGAGTATCCTCATGTTGAGATAGAGTGAGTCCTCACTCTAGCAGTGAGTACTCTCACCACAATGGGCTGTTTTTGGGCACGGTTTGCAAACACAATCTTGCTCTTCTCATTCACTGCGCAACCTCCATTAATGAGGAGTACAAGCACAAGTAACACAAAACAAAGTGGGATTTTTTTTCCGGTCGATCATAGTCAGTAGATACAATAGAAGCTCAGTAGATATTGTAAATAGATATAAAAGAAATTCAGTAGATAATAATTTCTTGAGTATATTTTTGGGTGGAATCGATGAGTGTTCAGAAACAAAAGCGGAGGAAACAATGACAACCCTGATTTCAAGCAATGGTCTCTACATTTATTGTTGCCTGGTCATTGGTGAGCCAATGACGGACCAGCACAAGGTGGCAGATGATATCTGGATCCAGGCGACCTCGAGACGGAACAGCAATGTTTCCCGAGATCAAGAAAACTCGCTCGACCGAGGCACCTGCTGCTGTGATTGTGAGATGTTGCAGCGCAATCTGGGCCAATACCGGCAGAGTGCCAGTTTTTAACATTTGCTTCAGAAATTTGTCAGTGTACAATTTACTGAGCAAAGAAAAAGCAAAATGAAAAAACTTACAGTCCAGAATCCACCTATACTCTTGCCAGGTAAAGCAAGATCTTTACGCGCAAAGTATCGGTCCAATTCATCATCTTCAGGTTGGCTGTCGTTGGTGGTAGCAGGGATAGCGGACGCGCCAAGGAAGGAAAAAATCGCTTCATGTTTGTTGACAGGACAGCTTTCAGCAGGAGTTGTTGGCAAATTTTCATGTGAGGTTTCTGAGGAGTTGGGTTTGTGAAGATTATACCCGGTTTGCAAGGCCTCCTTAGCAGCCAATTTGAGTGAAGTATGATACTGCTCCCCTTGGAAGATCTTGTCTCGAAATCTAGGATGAAGGAGGGTCGCCACCAAGGTCTGATTGTTCTTCTCCTCCTTGTCCAAATACTTGACCAGCTTGGCTTCAGCTTTTGCGCAAGCTCGAACCCAAGCACCAAGAACTTGCATATTCCTTCGAAAAGCCTTTTGAAGGGCCCACAGCGCCGGGAGGACCATATGCTTGGTCGCATCGTTGGATTGAAAGACCTGTGTGGTGTATTCAAACAATTCGAGAACTGGCAGCATGTATTCGATGCTCAACCAATCAGCCTTGGAGATGGCAAGTTTTGATCATTTGGGGTCGGCAGTGTAAGCCTCAAGGGACTTCCGGAGAGTCAGAGTGCGTTTGATCTGCAAACAGTACACATCAGTCAGTTTTAATGAACACAGATCATTAAAGAAAAAGGAGGACTTACTACATAGTAGAAGTAGTTCCACCTCGTGACAGGGCAGCTCAGTGGCAGCAGTTCAGGGTCTTTGACACTGTTCCTAATCTTAATATACGCCTCGAGTTCTTGTGGACTCTTCCGGATGTGCGTATCCAACGCTTGGATTCGACTGACGACAGTCGATTTCTTGCTCCGGTGAGGGGTGAGTGAAGGGTTAAGAAGGTTAGCTTGATTGACAGAATTAATTGCGGCTTGGGTATAGTCTTCTACTTCTTGGGTTGGGCCGTGCACTTCCATCGATGCCTGGTCAAGGTCAAACTCGGTTTCGGGGCAACTCTGGCTCAGTTGCGCTGCTTCTGCGGTTAGCTCTACGTCAGCGCAACTGAGCACCGGTCCCCTTTGCGAGTTTTGGGGGGTAACGGGGCCTGAGTTACGGTACCTTACGGGCGATTTGGCCAGTAACGGGTCACAAGTACCGCTACCCGTTCTGACCAAAGCCAGAAGCCACAGCAGCGGTACGTTTTGCCCTCAGCCCACTTCCGTATCCTTCGATAACACATACCCTCCACCTCCACCCTTGACGCCGCCACCCACCAAACACCTCGATCCAAGGAATCCACGAAGCCATCAAGATTCAATACGTTCCTCATCTGGACTAATCAAAGCCAACCAAGCATCCGGAGCAACAACCGGATGCCCATACAATTCAATGGGCACAGACACTCCACCTTCGATTGAGGAAATGAAGATGGTAAGTACTATTTCATGATTATAAGTCGTTTGCTCGACAAATGCTCTGTTGTTTTTTTCCCCAGAAGAAACTGAAACCAATTTCTATTCTTACATTCTCATTTTCTTGATATCTCCTTATCCTCAATTACATTTCCAATTCCTTCTTCTTAGTTTCATTTTAAACCCTCCTACCCTTATAACTTCACGTTTTTGCTTTATCATCATCCCAATCGATTCCAGATGGCACCAACTCAAAGTACTCTGCGATTTGATTCAGGCTACGAGACTGACGATAATGGCCCACGCCGTTCAGGACGCATCACTACTCCTGCACGTCTAGGACCCGGCATGATCTGTCCCCCATCTGACAGCCGACAATCCCTCGCTTCTTCAGCCTTTACCTTTTCTCTTACTAACGACAGCTTGACTGACAAGGGAAAAGGAAAAGGAAAGAGCAAGCGTGCTCGATCCGAATCCTTTGCTGAGCCTGCGATTGACTCAGATGCCGAGACCGACACACCTGAGATTGTCAGCGGACCAACTCGAAGAGTGATTCCTCCACCACGACGAATTGGTGTAGGTAGTTCGAATCAAGGGACATCTAAGGTGTCAAAGAAGACCTCTGCAGTTTCTCGGCGCAGGGATGAAGCTGAAGCCAAATTGGTAAGTTTGTTTCCTTATTCCAAATCACCCCAATTGATGTTGTGTGCTGAATCTCTTGCATCATTTCAAGGCTTTAGCTGCTGACGCTGGAGTCGAACCTGATCTCAATCAAGACTTGGATGAAGAGAATCGACGTGTTCGTCAACGAATTCAAGGTGCGAATGGTCAAGAAGTTGATGAATATGACCCACCTGTTATATACTTTGGGAAACCGTTTCGTCGACCAAATGACGTAAGTTTTTTTTATTTTCATCATTGTATCAATGAAAACTACTAATTAACACTTTTTGTGTAGGATCCATCTGGTCCACCCTTGACATTGAAGTGCAAGTGGTGCCACAAAGAGGTCTGTATTAGTGGCAGCTCGAAGTCAAATCTTCGCTGCCACCGTGATGGTTCAAGTCAGGCTGGTAAAAACAACCAAGGCTGCCCTCGTCGGGACCAAGCAATCCGTGCTGGTGCAAAACTCCCGCCAACTCGAGCTGATATCAAGGCCTCTAAGATTCGCGATCAACCCGCCCACTCCTTGGACAACTTCCTCCTTCCTGTTCCCGAGTTTGACGGCCTGGTGGTCAATCAAATGATCAGTTTATGGCAAATAACCAACAGTCTACCTTGGACCATCATCGAGCACCCTATGTTACGCGCAATCCTCTTGTATCTTCGACCGGGTATCCAAATCTACAAACGAAAATGGTCAGCAGAAGAGGCCAAGCGTCTCTATGTGGGCCTGCGCGAAAATGTCATCAAAGAACTTAGAGTATGTTTTTTTTACTTTCTTTCTTTCTAAAATTATTATTCCGTCTCTTTAAATATCTCTCAAGTTATTATTTTGGTACTGACCAATCTTTTGTCTTTTGACCAGTCACTTACAAGTATGTTCACGTTGATCCAAGATGTATGGACAGTATCTCGCAATCGACATGCCTTCATCGGAGCGTTAGTTTCATACGTCAATAAAGATTGGAAGTTTGTTGTTCGCCACCTTTCCCTCAAGCTCGTCGCCTGGCATCACAAAGGCGAATGGCTGGCCGCACCAATTGCTAATGTACTCAAAAAGCATAACTTATGCTCAAAGATAAGTTTCATTCTTATCTTTTCACTTCTAGTTTCATTCTTATCTTTTCACTTCTATCATACTTATTGTGTTTTTTCTCTCTAGCACATGGTTGCAATGGCCACCGATTTGGGTTCCAACAACCTGACCTTAGGTAGGGAACTTCAGCAACAATGCATCGAACACGACCCCACATGTCATTGGGACTCAAAGACGATGCATATATTCTGTATCTGCCACAAGACTGGCCTCATTGTCCATGCAGGACTTGACGCTCTTGGGATTCCACCTAAACGACACTGACACGCCACTCTTGCGAATTTCCCTAACATTGACACAATGGAAAGTGTACCTGAAGAGGACGAGACTGTTGTGATCAACGTTGAAGATCCTAGGAGTTCAACCCTCGAAGATCATGAGAAAGATGGAGATGATCCTGATGTGGACCGCCTCCTTGATTCAGAGGACAAGGAGGATCCTGAGGAGGTCCTTCAGGAATGTGGGGAAGGCGACCAAGAAGACGATGAAGATCCCAGCCCACCTCAAGTGACTGCAACACGTGCAAAGAAAGGTCTACCTAGGACTCGAATGGCCCGATTGATTAGAAATGTAAGTATTCAATTTCACTAAGCTTTTGTATCTTCTCATTTATGATTTTTAAACTCACATCTATTCTTGTTTTAGCTGAACATAGTCAACAAGAAACTCACTCGATCAGCAGCCTGGAGGGAGGACTTTAATCGTCGTCGTGCTGCCATGAACAAGAGGCGAAAGGAAGATAAAGAAGGTCCACCTCTTCTTGCTCTCCTAGCCGAGTATGGTATTCGGTTGAACATCGAGCTGGATCGCTGGGAACGTATGTACGCAGCCCGAGATGTGAGTTTTCAGATTCAGTTTTCAGATTCTTATTCAATATTTTTCCGTCTTTCTAATCCTATCTCTTTTTTGAACCTTGAAGATCATTGACGAGATGATGAAAGAGGATCTGGCTAAGGTTCATTCCAAAAAGCGTCGACCACGAAAGAATGGAGCAAAACTAGGATATTTCCACAAACTTATCTTCTCAGTCGGTGATTGGGAATCTCTTCAAGAGGTGATTCAAGAGTTGAAAGTAAGTCATTCATTTCCTTTCAGCCTAACTGTACTTCACAAAGCTTATAATGGTAACAGCCGTTGCGTTCACTATGCCGCAGGATGGAGGGCGATGGGCCAACTGGCTGTATGGTCTTACACGAGTACTCTGAACTTCGGTCATCTCTTAATGACCGTCTCACCTTGCTCTTGGATGACGATCAACTATACCCAATGATCAATGAAATGCTTCAACAAACGACAATCTATTTAAATGAGGCTATTGAATGTGACTCACTGGTTTTGGCGACAATCTTTCACCCAAGCTTCAGGCTAGGTTTCTTTGATTTCACTTTTGAAGACGATTCCGGTTTGAAAGAACGTGCCGAAAACTTACTACGCGCTCAATACCACGACCGTCAAGCAGAATTTGCCCGCAAGACAACTCCAACCGACTCAACCAATGCTGATGATATCATTGAAGTATCGGCCACTTCAGTGAAGAAGAAACTACCCAAGGTGTTTGATCTTTACAAACAAGCCAACACCTCAAGTGATCTTGGGGAATTAGATCGTTACTTACAAGGGTTGGACCCTCTTAGTTGTGATAATCCAGAAGACCTCTTGAACCCACAATGTGCTTTAGATTGGTGGAAGGTCAGTCTGTTCTCTTTTTTCATTGACTACGCGTGCGCAAAACACTGATATCAATGTGATATCTTTCTTTGGTATTTGTATGACACAGGAACATGGGGTCAAGTACCCAGTTTTGTCAAGTCTAGCTCAAGACTACCTCAGCATAACTGCCTCCTCAGCCCCTGGAGAGCGATTGTTTACTGTTGCTGGGCAAGTTTGCTCGGCGAACCAAGCCTCTATGCGTCCGCGATGTATCAAGACGTCAGTTGGCAGTCGGATGTGGACTAGGCAAGGGGTGCCTTTGCCTCGATCGTTTAGCAAGGTGGACAAAGTGATTGATTACATTAATAAAACAAAGGGGGGCAAGGGTGTCTCGACCTTAGATGTTGATGGGTTATAGTGTCTTCTAATCCTTTTTCACTATCGTGTTATCTTATATGTTATGCCCCTTTTTCACTTTCCCAACATCTTTATCTATGCGTATGCCAGGAATCAAATTTGTTGTTTATTTCACAGCGCTGCTCCGCTTTTTTGCCCCAGTCAAGTTGCGCTTCGAATCACTGCTGAACCCAAAATTCAGCAGCCCGCTCCGCTTCTAGCCATTTTTGGTTTTCAGGAGCGGGCACTAAAGTTACCAATTTGAGGTGACTTTAAAGATTGTTACGTTATCGCAAAGCTGGGAAAAAGCTTTGCGTAGCGTAACGAGCCAGCCTTGTTCGGGGTCAGGATCAGAGGTAGGGGCCGAAGACGCTGGTGCAGAAAGGGTCGGAGGAGTGTTGTCCATCGAAGGAAGTTCGTCAGGTTCGAAAGAGTCTTGCAATTGGGCCATGCCAGACTCTTCGTATGCGGCAATGTCCGCTTCAGTCAATTCACCAATACCCTCAAGAAAATCCCGCGCAATCAAATTGATTACGTGGCACATACAGCCGTGCCAGCGCGAAGCCGCAGGCCATTTGATCCCAATTGTAGCGTACTGATCACTCAATTGGCGAGCCATGGATTGGTTGGAAGAAGCGTTGTTGCCGGTGATTGAGTAGTGTTTGCGAAGAGCTTAGACATGTTTGAGAGCCTTCCAATAGACCTTGGCAAGATTCTCACCTGTATGTTTGCCTTCCAGTTTCTGAGAAAGAGAAAGAGAGATAGAGAAAGAATCAGCTGCCATCAAAAGGACAAATTAGAGTGGAAGGCGACTGACCTTGAAAGCAAGTAGACGTCAACAGAACCGACCCTCAGTGTTGAAAAAGAACCCATTGATTGCCATGTAAGTGTGTGAGAAATCCGCGCTTGTCCAGCAGTCGGTGGCTGTTGAAATCGACCCAGGTACCTCTGCGATTTCAGCAAGTAGTTTCTTTTCCAAGTCCTGGTACAGAAAATCCGAATCGGCCTTCACAGTCATTTGACCTGGCCAATGAAACGAGGGGTTAATGGCTCTAAGAGCCTTCTGCATCAAATCTCCCTTGAAAATTGAGAAAGGTAAGTTGTTCGAGACCACTGCGCCAATGAGGAGTGTACGCAGTGCTTGCTTGCGTTTGGCAGCGGCCACAGGATCCTCGTCAGGAGCGATGCTTCCAGGCTCGTGATTTGCCCACGCAAGTGCTAAACCGGGGCATCTTCGGCGGTGCTTATGCAAGTTCGAGTTTGGGCGGCCGGATATGGAAAGTGCAGCTCTACACCAATCGATACTAATCAGACATGTGCATGTTGTGCTGATAGGATAAAAATCAAATTTTGAAGCTACTTACGGACAGTGGAGACAGGCGTAGAGAAAGCATTGATCACCTTTGCTTGGCTCAGGCTGCGCTACCTATGATCATTTAAAAGCAAAAATTGAAATAGCAATATGTTAGGATATGATACCAAAACAAACTTAAGAGGGGCCAAGGGTACTTACATCATAATAGAAGTACACATCTGATCAATGTGTACTTGGCTTTGAATTGTCACCATAGTGCAGTTGATCGTGAGGGGGTGAATCACCACGGTTACCTCCTGAGTTCATGGCCAAGCTGCTACCAGCAGGTCAAGATTGGGTTAAGGGTAAGGGGCAGGGAGGTAAGAACCCACAAGCTGTCGATGTCGAGTTGACGCGAGTCAAAGAGGTAACACAAGCAGTGGAGGTAGCACTGCGTGATGGAGCAGCTGGGAGACCGCGACGGGCGTAAGGTGAAGTCAAAGGTGTTACTTGGGGAGAGGGTGGATATTTAGGCATGATGTCTTTGAGATAAAGAACCTGTCTGATTGTGATTCAAAAGGTTGGAAAAATTGGAAACGGAAAGAGTAATCAACAAAAGTCAGAAAATACAATGACTTGAGGAGGAGAGTGAAAATCAGGGAGTATACTATATAGAATGGTTGCTCACCGGATGTCAAGTTCCCATTCCAGGCCTCCGAGATCCTTCATCTCGGAGTTGACCCACCCCAGCGCTGGTAGCCACATCTAAGCCACCTTTGCTAATTAGTTGTTCAAATTCCAAGCTGAGATCTTGATTGAGGGTGTTGAGGAGTCTAGAAGGGAAGTGAAATGGTAGGCCAACGGAGTAAGGCGTGGACGAGAAGCCAGATCGAGAGTTGATGAGGTAATTTCGAGATTGTAAGTAAGTCAAGGTGATTGAGTCGATATTGTACAAATAGGTGTTGATGAGGTGAATGAGTTGATAATGATATTGTAAGCCAAATAGACCGTACGACGCATATGATCGAAGTTGATATGGGTCGGTTTGGATGAGTATATGAGTGAGTATACTCATCCAAACATTGTGCGCGCTGAAAGTGGGCTAGTGAGTAAAGGGCATGGAGACAGGGCGCATATGAGTTATGTGTAGCCACATTACATATACAGGTGAGTATTCCAATGCCGAGTACTACTCAGTCGGGGCCCATCGAGAGTACTACATACTCTCGCTCGGGGGCAAAACCCGCTCAAAGTGAGTATGAGTTGAGTATACTCATACTCACACTTGCATCCCTTGTGCCTGGGTTCAACCCCCTAGTGTGGCACATAAATCATAATTCAGCAGGAAATCTGGAGCCTAGCTTGTCTAAGACCACACTGAATGTTTCGCCTTGGGGTATCATCGATAGCCTTTGCATAACTTGAAGTATGCCCCACCAACTAATTTTTACCCTTTTTTCAAGCTCATTCAACAGGCACAGATCTCGAATCCGAAATGCCACAAAAACCCATTTCATCTATTTTTCCAACAACCACTCCACAAAACCTTTGAGGAATTCGTGGTACAGCGTCCACCCTCATCAAACCTCAGAACTATTCAACGGTCCTCCAGGAAGACGAGAAAGTTGCCAAAAGCAACGCTATGAGACTCAAACCGTCCGCCCAACACCTACTCATCTTCAGTGATGGATCACGCATCCCATCCAAAACGACGGCAGCCGCGGCATGGTGCGCAAACACGAGAGCTGCAAAAGCCGAACACCTAGGGCCGGCACGATCACACGGCATCTATCAGGCCGAGTACAGAGGTGTACAGCTGGGACTGAAGATCACCCTCGAAAGAGCGACACCAACCACAAACCAAACCACGATTATACTCGACAACCAAGGGGTCGTCAAAGACCTCACATCCAACTCCTCCTCCATTTCATCACTTGACAATCGCCACGCGACCTTCAAGTTACTTCAGTGCTTACACCAAGCTTTCCCAACCATGCGCATCACGATACGTTGGTGTCCCGGCCACAACGGCATACCAGGAAATGAAGAAGCAGATAAGATCGCTAATACACTAGCGAAAAGATCCTTACCGAGCACATTTACTAACACTCCAAACACAGCAGGCTTCTTGGCGGCCATAAAGGAATGGCAAACAGAACAAGCGAACTCATTCACCGAGCCCGAAATCAAGAGACTAGGGCACAAGCCTCAACCCAAGAAACACATTGACGGACTTTCCACACTCCTCAAGCACGAAATCGCCACCATCACTCAACTGCGCTCAGGACATGCCCCTCTCAACACCTATCTCAACCGCTTTAAGCAACCAATTGACCCAGTCTGTGAATGTCAATGTGGGCTTGAAACTGTTGATCATTTTCTTCTTATCTGCCAGAATTACGAACAACAACGAAACACACTCGAACACGCTATTCACGAGCACAACACAAAGATGGACAAAAGAATCCTGTCCAACCCCAGCAGCTTTAAAGCCGTCGCCAAATACTGCAACTCCACTTGGAGGTTTGCAAACAGATGGATCTGGGCCAAGGCCACAGACGAACCACGTCCAAATGATAGACCACAACCACCTGAATGAATCTTAAGGTTCCTTTCTTCCCCCTACTTCACCGCCCCCCTCTTAAAACACAAAAATGCACATGTATACTAGATGAAACAGCCAACAGCTACCTTTCCCCTGACACAGCCAGAGGGGTTTTACCGGTGCTGGACATATTACATAGTGCTTGATAGCCTAGCGGCTCCAAAAGCACTTAAAGCAATGCAAAAAAAAAAAAAAAACACTTGCATCCCTGATATGAATCATGAACTCGACTCACCTCACCTCATGCCACTTCCATTCCTCACTCACCCGACTCTCCTACACACAATCTCAACGTCAACATCTTCAATACCTCAATTCCAACATCGAGTTTTGTGTGGATCTCTATCACACCTCAGTCGCATCTTCAACTAAAATTGAAATACTTTTAATCTTATCATTGTTGACTCTATTGTAGTGGATCATAGACATTAGATGAACGGAAAATAACCAAAGACAAAATCAATTTTGGTTATGTAGACTCGGAGTCAACAAAAGTTTCATCATCACAATTGAGCTCCTTGAGGCTCCTTGATATTCAGTCCAAAGACGAATACAGGGATCAGGATGAAGTGTTTCAAACAAAACGGGAAAACTTGCTAAAATTCGAAGAGGAAGAGGGAGGTTAGCGAACGTAATGCGAACGTAATGCGAACAAGATCCGTGATTGAAGAAAGTTGTGAACCCCGTCACCGCGACTTTCTTCAATCGGGTCTCGGACCTATTTATTCCCGCGGTGTCAGCTTTGCGACTATCCAAAGATCGTGTGAGGTCGTGTTGCTTTTACACAGAGTGCAACATTTTAAATTTGTCAATCATCCATGCCTTCCATCCAGATTGAGGTCCAAGTGACTTTGACATCGGACGATGTGACATGCCACGGCAAGGTTCATTGGCAATCAAAGCAGGTGCTTCTTGAGTCTTCGCCGACTCCTTGGTCAACTTCTATAGCTGCTCTGAAGTTGGATCCGCCTTCACTCGACCTCACCAGGCTCGGGGTAAGCAGTTCTAAGGGAGAAAACTTCATTCTATCATTAACACTGGTGACCAACATTTTGTACTTGCACCTTCAACCCAGGTATGTACGCGGTCCCTTTGTGTTCAAATCTTCGACCCTGGTTCTTTGGCCTTACTCAGTCCAACTCGAGTATCGACAGTGTCAACTTTTCTGGTCGGGCCTAGACTTGTATCTTCCACTTCTTCCTCCCCAGTGAATTACTCAATGACTATCATTGGTGCAATGTGATCTGCGCGACTTGAACCTCATCAGTCAAGCCCTGACAAAATCATGTGCAGGTCATCAAATCTATTGACAAATTATAAACAAGCAGTCAAAACATATCAGATCGATAGCAGTCCTGCTACGATCGTTAGCGGCCCATTTCAGGGCTGCGCATTAACGGTCTGGAATTCCATTCTACATCAGCCTGTCCCGGTGACTCAAGCACAATCGACCTTAGCTTTTTGATCTCGGGATATAAAGTCTGCTATCACCTCCTCAAAGGTTATCTGATCAGCAATCGACTATTACGCTTTGTCTTACCATCAGCAGCGTGCCTTGTATCCTTCGCGACTTCTGACGCTTAGTTAAACCTTGAGCCAACCGATAAAACCTCTTATCTGACCACACTTACCGTTCAGCCTATCATAGGACTCAATCTCTTTAGCGGTCTTTATTAACTTTTGACTCTCAATTTCTCCTTCTTGCCTTGAAGCTTTTATATCATCGGTCATCTCTTGATTCCTTGAATATCACCTCTTAGCCCTCCCAAAGTGTCTGTCGTGGGACTTACGGTAGCATCTGCTTTGTTCTCTTTATCAACCAATTCTTCATTCTCAAACTCCATTAATCACTCTTCCGAACAATTTTCGACGCGTATCTGCCTTCCGATATCCTACTCTAATAATTGATTATCGCCGCTACTCATACATCCCTCAATAGTAACAATCAGATTAACTAGCACATCTTCATCACAGAGGCTCGAACCAGCAAACCAGTTTTTCAAGCTTCAGAATAATTCCTTCAGCCTCAAATCACAAGATGAGGAAAACATATCAATTAGCTCCGATACCACCGTTCCGAGGAGGTGGTGCAAAAATCCCTGTCTCAACCTCGACATCATCGTGCTCTTCCACACTCTCGGAAATGACGCAGTCACAAAGCTCTTCGTCCTTGGCGATTTCTGTGGACGATGAAAGTCTGGTGGCACCACTACTCCTGTCCTCTACTCTCTCGCCCCGCGTCTTTCACGCCGATCAAAACCCCTCAACCTCGACCAGCCCACCGCTCACTTCCTTCCATGTTACAAGGCGTCGACCTTCAATTTTGTCCAAACTGAAGGCAGAACCACCTCCAGCTTATTCACTTACTCAACATGGCGCAGATGCTCTTCCACCACCTTCATCACTTCCTCGCCAGCCAAATAATCCTGATCGTTGTGGTGCTAACTCATCATCCTCGCCAGACCCACCTTCATTCTCAAAGGCTGTCAACAGCGATATCCGAGCCAGTCTTGTACCTTTGCGTTTTCAAACTAAAAAAACATTCGCATCTAAACCTTCATCAAGCCTTTCCAGCATCAAGGGCACTCCCGTTGATGAGAATAACCCCGATCGTGCTCTTATTAGTTCACCATCAAGATCTGAACGCGCAGCCCAAGCAGAATCTTATTTTGCAAGTTTAAAGTCGAAGAATGCACGGAATGCGATGAGTGCATTATCTTTCCCATCTTTGGATGGTAATAGTCTCACCCCCCCTCCAACTCCTGATACCCGCCTACAGAAAGCGGGTTCGATCAAGTCTGTCAGCAAATTGGCAGCAAGCTTGAACGGCCCAAATCTTTTGACACTCCGAGGGCTTCCTCCTACTCCTTCAACTTCCCCCATCAACAAAGTCCATTCGCCCCTCACTCCTCTCACCGTATCAGCCAAGGCACTCAGTCTACATCGGCTCAATCCACTCTTTGACAGGACATATTTAATTGGTGATGAGCTAGGAAGTGGTGGGTTCGGATTTGTTGTTCAGGCTACTCGTCAAAATGATGGTCTTCTCTGCGCGGTCAAATTCATCTACAAAGATAAGATTCCATCTCACGCATGGGTTAAGGATGACTTCTGGGGAGATGAAGACGACTGTAACGGTATCTTGCGGTCTAAAGACGGAGTCAAGAGGGTACCCCTAGAGGCCGTAAGTTCCATTGTAGCAATGACCCTTGTCTTCTTTAACGAAATTGACGTTTTTATCTTTCTTTCGATTGTAGTACGTTCTCAAGACCATCCAACATCGTGGGGTTGTATCCTATGTGGATTTGTTCGAGGACCAGAGCTATCTTTACCTAGTATGTGGCTTCGTTTCTTCAACATTTGTAGCTCACTGATCTTACTCAATTACCTTGCCCCTTCTCAGGTTATGGAGCACCACGGATCTCCTTGGGCAGCTCCCGAAAAGGAAAACAAACCTATATTGTCATCTCTTCCGCTACATGCTATGACCTCTTTACTGAAGATCACACCGTCTAAGAAAAAACCATTGCAACCCTATGTGAATGGGACCCTACTACCTTCCGGTCCTAGATCATTGAGCCCTTCGACATTCTCACCAGCTCTAAGCATTCCTACGCAAGCACCTGCAATGATGAGACGATCCTCGTGCGATCTATTCGAATGTATAGAACAGCACAGTCGTCTTCCTGAACATTTTGCAAAATATGTTTTTGCTCAGTTGGTGGATGTGGTGGGATGTTTACATTATAACGGATTCGTTCATCGCGATATCAAAGATGAAAACATTGTGATCGATGACAAATACCGGGTTAAACTCATCGATTTCGGTTCTACTTTCCTCTTCGATTATCGCAAGGAGGTTCCATCGCTAGCTCGGTTTTATGGTAAGCGCATCTCCATAACATTTCTTCTTGAAATCCTTGACTAATGTCATCCTTTCTCTTTCTAAGGAACCATGAACTTCGCTGCACCTGAGATATTAAAGAAAGGAACATATCAACCAATAGCAGCCGAGATATGGTCATTAGGCATCCTACTCACCATTCTAGTCACAGGAGAATCTTTCTTTCGTGACACAGAAGCTGTAAAGGGATACAGAGCTTCTGCACCCAATTCACCCATCTCAGAAAGCTGTATGGATCTTATCTTTCGTTGCTTAGCTTATGATCCTAATGATCGTTGGAATTGTTTTCGAATTCGTACTCATCCTTGGTTAGCTGATTGTCTTTGGCCTTGGTCTGATGTTCCACGTGATGCCTCTCTCGAAGGTAACAAACGTGTAAGGAAGTAAGAAGTTGAAAGTTTGGTTTTGGAAATCGGTTCCCTCGTGCTTGTTTTGGTTCTTCCATATGTTCTGTTCATTAATATCTCATTTATTGCACTTTTACCATTCGTCATCTCACCTAATAATGAACCATTCCTTTTCCCTCAACACTTTCATTTTCCTTCCTCAGCACCAACTCAGATTTCATTTTTTTCATGCCGATTCGTATCCCATGTTTTCTTTCAATTGTTAACCTTATCATGTACCCTCTTCTCTTTATCAGAAAAAAAAATCACTAACTTGTGTAGTTCTAATTATTCTTTCTCTTTTTCTACCGGAAGCAGTATCTGTATTTGTTGTATTGGGTCGGCCTTTTATCTCTTTCTTATCTTGGCATCTTTCTCTTTACTTGATTTACATGGATGACATAATGAATTCACATTTTCCGAAACATACCTCACAGACTCACGTTGCCACACGATCCATGATTGTATTCTGATCCCGCAAAAAACATAAGCCTATGTTACAGTCCTTATCCCCATCTGTTTGACAATCGTGGATTCCATGAACCACCAGAAGATGAGAAATGTCCACTCTGCAAATGTCTCTGGCAAACGTGTGAATTGTCTTGGAGTCTGTTTTATCATTCAGGATTGCATGAATAAAATTTTAAGTAGAACAACAAGGGAATTTCTGGACATTCATTTTGCTCCCGAGCAGATATCACACCATTTTTAACTGAAAGAATTTTTCTTCCATCACAGGGAAAATAATTTTGATAAATACAACAGTTTGATTACAAAACATCTTAAGCATGAACTGCACTAGGTTTAACATCATGTGATTTCAAAGAACTGAGTGAAGGAGTACCAGGAGCAGGAGGATTGGAAAACCGAGTTTGAACAAAAGTTTTCAAAATACCCATTTCTTTTTCATCAAATGATTTATAAAGTTCAGGAAATTCATCTATAGAAAACCTATGACTTAAGATGATGGTAGGATCAAATTCTCCACTTTCTACTTTCTTAAGTAATTCTTTCCAATACATTTGTACTGGTGCTTGACCTGTACCTCTTAATGTGATACCTTTTTCCATTAAGGCTCCAATTAGAAATTGATTGGTCCAACCTGCGTAATCAGCTACTAGAGAGATTGTTCCGAATTTTCTTACTGCTTGGATGGCTTCATTCACAACTTCGGATGAATCAGTTTCCAATCCGATTGCACGTTGAACGGTGTGAATGATCCCCTTGGTATAACGGAAGGCGGCTGCATCGATGGCGCAATTAACTCCTTCTGGTTCAAGTCTGATAGACATTCATGATCAGAAAAGTTCTCAATTCAGAATAGACGTACGAAGTAAAGGAAAATTGTAAGACTTACTCGTATATCGCTTTTACCACATCAGTTTGAACATCATAATTAATCACGTCACATCCAAGGATCTCAGAAGCCATTGCCAAACGTTCTGGAACTCTATCAATACAAATCACTCTTCTTGCACCTTCTAATTTACACCATTTAGCAGCATATAAACCAATAGGACCCATACCCCAAATAGCTACACTTTTACCTTCTTTAACATCAGCACATTTAACTGAATGATAAGAAGTTGGAATAATATCACTTAAAAATAAAGCTTTTTCATCTGGAATTGAATTTGGAATTTTTAATAAATTCGTATCACCAAATGGACATCTAACATATTCTGCTTGACCACCTGCAAATCCACCTGCAAAATGAGTATAACCAAATAATCCAGCAAATGGTTTTCCATATAATTTTTCTTGTAATTTACTTGAATTCGTTCGATCACACATAGAAGAAAGACCTTCTTTACAAAAAGAACAATCACCACAACTATTCAAAAGAATATGTAATCAAAATCAAAAGTCAATATAAACTAATTCCAAAAAAAAAGACAATATGAAATGATAAGAATGAGATGAAGAAAAAGATAATCTTACGCTATTTGAAATGAAGCCACTACACGATCACCTTTTTTAACATTTTTAATAGCACTACCAACTTCATCTACAATCCCCATCCATTCGTGTCCTAAAATATCACCTTTTTGCATTTGCATGATTTCTTTATGATATAAATGTAAATCTGAACCACAAATAGTTGTACCAGTAACTTTACAAATCACATCATTTGGTTCAGTGATCGCTGGTACTGGAACCTAAATACAAAATCGGAGATCATTTACACTTTTTAATTATCGATTTTCTTGATGGAATTGGAATCTCAAGAAAGATACTCACGGTTTCTAATCTAACATCTTTATTACCATACCATCGTAGTGCTAACATAGATTCACCAGGTCTAGTTAACGGTTTATTGGTAGTCACCGTTTCTCGGTCACCTAAATATTCTTCAACTTTGTTAGTCACAAATGTATTCATCTTTTCAATAGATTTTTCTGATAGAACTAGTGAGATGGATTTATGAGATTATGGTTAAGAACTGGGAACGAGAAGTTGAGAATCAGAAATGATAGAAACCGGTTTTAATTAGTGCTTGAAATATCATAAGCCAACTGCAGGCAGATGATAGTCATACGTCATTCTTAGTCGATGACGTCAATCTAAGACCTTCTCCCTCTCTCCCTCTCGTGCCTAACAAACTCTCCACACCTCATCTCACAGACTCGATATGAGAGTGATGAAAGTTTGGCTGGTAAGTCATTGAGTACTTTTTGCATTTGAAAGGTGAACTTAAAGTCATATCGCCATTCTGACCGCATGTTCAAGTCCCTTTTCATAATAGTGGAGAATGCAGTTGTATCTGTTCTTGATATACAGATGTACCTCAGAGTCATGCCTTGCTTTCGGCTCAATCGAAGACAATCAGTCTTGGTGTGAAGGGCTCGTCACAGCCTGGTAAACTTGGTTTTTTACAGCGTTTCCAGCTTGTTTAGCTGGAATATCGACGGTTCTAAAACTATTTGTCACGCATGTATCACTCAGTGCTACCTATTTGTCATATGACCGGATCTGGCTCTAGGTATCCAAAATCACAAATAATCATATCATTGTACCGTTACGCATATAGCTCTAGTGCACCTCTTCCCATATAGGATCTTCAATAAGAATTTATAAATTAATTATAGCAAGCAACCTTACTGAACTGATCACGAGGCGATTCTTATGGGAATTCTTCAAATTTTGAAAAACTCTAAGAAAGCCCTACCTGAGGACCACATATATACCCAAGCAAAAGTGGGAATTCTAGAATTTCACAGAGCATACAGGTCAAAAGACTTATAATTTTAAAACATCTTTGGTTAACTTGAACTGCCCTATTATGTAAATTTCTAGATATGTAGTCATCAATGACAAAAATACCATGACAAAAAGACCTAGTTACTCTCTTACATTGTACGAGTTAGTAAAGGTATTCAAAAAGTAAACTCTAAAATGAACTTTTCAAAGAACCAGCCTCTAAGATTTTGGAATCCATATCTCACAAGGTATCAGTGTCAACAGATTTCAAAGACTCCACAATTTTTTTTGACCTTGGACAAAGCTTTTGTTTGCATGATTGAACCTTTCAACTTAAATCCTAATATTACTAAAAAAACGATAATTAAGAACCAAGAATTTTGCTTTTTTTTTCTATATATTCAAGTATATATACATACATGCACAACAACAACAAAAACCCACACCACTAACTACAACACTCTTTCTTTTCAACTACAATCAAAAACTTTGTACTAAGAACGATACTCATAAATGAAAACAAACTTCACACTATATATTTACTTATCATACAAACTTCCTTTCATAAGAATGCTGCTTCATACTTTTAAAGAAAAACCAATGCTTAAATCAATTTTCTTTTTCAAACTTTCAAACCTATTTTTTTCTTTTTATCTTTTCTTTTCCCATTCAGCTGTACCTTCAGTTTCAAGTTTTTGATCTTCAGTAAGACTTAAACTACCATCACCTTGATCAACTTCACCTTCACCACTCAATCTTTCTTGTTGAATTTCTTCAATTTCTTCATCAATTGACATCGATGCTGCATCTTCCATTTCAAGTCTAAAATTGAATTCAATTCAAGATTCCCAAAAAAATCATCAGTTTTTCTTTTTCAATCCTTTTTGGTTTTTATCTTCAGTCTTGATTTTTTTCAAACTCACGGCTTTCTCGTTAATAATGGTTTGATCAATCGATCGAAATATGGATGAACAGGTGGAAGTGGATTCGCAGCACGAACAGCATTAAAATATGCTGCATAAACATTTCCATCGTATCTACCAAATGGACTATTAATAATATGATCACTATAATAAAACGAACTAGAAAAGAAAATCAAATTCCAAAATCAGCTAATCAACTTCTGACAAAAAAATTCAAATTTTTATTCTGTATGATCTACTTACTCTACTAATGAAACAGCATAAGTTCTAACTTCTGCACATAATTGATTAATCTTTTCTGATATGATATCCATTTGTTTAGCAGTATAAAATCCATACTTCAAAAAATAAGCTGCATTTTCTTCAATCCTGATAATTCCTCACAAATAAATCAATCAACACACTGAATCACATTATATTAGGGAAAAAAACACTTACTGAAATGCTCCATAAAGTTGACAAATTGTTCTTAAAGTAGAAACAGTAGTCGAACCTGAAGGTTCTTCACTTTCAAGTGTTTCCAAAGCATCCAAAAACTGTCTATAAAGGTATCCCATCGTATGAATCTTTGCTGCACAAAACCTTTCATGTGAACATCCTTCCATTGCCACATCTTTGTTGACGCCACTTTTTAATTTAGTATCATACACTTCTGCTGCTTTTTTCACTACATTGGCTGAAATTGTGGCCCATGCTGAATTCATGGTGTTTAAATCAACACATTTTGTGTCAGAGGGACATTTGTTCGTTAAAACAGATTTATCATCCAAATAAGCTACTCCAGTTGAAACCTTCTTTCCTTTCTGAGCGTCTTGATATGCCGATATGAGTGATCGTCCTGCTTGGAGGGACAGAATAGTGTTATCTCCCTCCCAGGTGCCTGAATGTAAAGTCAAGAACACAGTCAGGATCCGTGCCCACCTTGAAAAGAACGGAAACGAATCTAGACTAACATTGAACAGCTTGATCAGCATACATCGAGGCCAGTCCAGCGTACGCGGAATATCCATGACCACCAAGAGTTTGACGACATTTATCAATAGTATCAAGGCATTGCCAAGTCGAAAAGGCTTTAAGACCAGCCGATGATGCATGAGTTTCTTTCAGAGTCTCTAATACTCTTTCGGTTTGTTCTGTATCGGAGGAAGAATCAAATGACTCCAATTCTTCAGTAAGTTTCTCAAACATCTTCGTCATTCGCAGGGCAGTAAATCCCTGATCAATCGTGGAAACAATGTAAGTGAAGGATCACGATTTCGGAACTAAACTATCAAGCACTAACCATCGCGATTGCCTGCGCCAAAAGTGGCATCAGACGTCTTTGATGAATAGGGTAATCCAAGAGCTGCGTTTCAAGCTCGTTATCACCAGTCTTGAACTGACGCCGGACAGCTCCATATCTAACTGCAATGGTCAATGCCTTCTTAGAGACATTGGCACCATCGGCCACCATAGCTGTTCTGCCCTGAAGTAATGCACCATAGCTATGAACACGTCGTACTTTTGTCAGTTAATCAAATTACGTTGAATGCTGAGCACGAAATCGTACGTGAGCTGTGCCAAAGGTGGTTCATAGACCTGCCCATCTCGCGTCACTTGAGTATGCTTCATCAACATATATGCACGCGGGATCCGCACGTATGTGAATTGAATATATCCATTATCTGTAAAAAAACGCAATCAAACCGTTCAATATGAATCGGGAGAACCGCTTGTATAAATAAATCGCCTCTTACCAATACCATCTCTTCCCATCTTCTTTCCTATATCACCAATGTTTACACCTGGTAATAATGCAAAATTACGAGGATCTCGTAAAGGGACAATGAATGTTTTAGTTCCGTAATCTTTGCCTTTTACGATCAAGCGAGCAAAAACGGAACAGTGAGTGGCCGTCTGTGCTGCACCACCAATCCACCACTGTCATTGGATGAAAAAACTGTCAGTTGATCCTTCCGGGTTTTGAGCAGGATATGATAGATGTAACACACCTTTGTGGCCGAAAGACTAGGAGTATGAATCACAAACTCGTCAGTTTTTTCATCAAAAGTAGAAGTAGTCTCTAATCCAGCCACATTAGATCCCTGATCGAAAAAGAAACAATCGATCATTAGATCTCAAATCATCATTTTGAAAAAAAATCGATCCAAAACAAACACTCCACTAACATGATTCAATTCAGTCATTCCAAAACATCCTACTAATCCATTCATACCCAACACTCCTTTTTCCATCCAATAACTAAATTGATTAGAAGTAGCACCTGATCTGATCGCTCCAAGAAATAATCCATAATGGACTCCAAATCGAGTCCAAAAACTTGGATCTGCAATTCCAATCAATTCCATACTTTCAAGGCAATTGGTTCGATCAAAAATGAGTATGGTTCAATTGAATGATGAAAAATGACGAGTCAAAAAAAGTAGCTACCGTTTGGTAAAGATGTCTAATCTTTCAGTAGTTACATAATGAATCATATTAGCAAATTTCATCATCGTCCTTTCCCTAATCTAACGAAAAAAGGACAATTCAGCATCAGAATCAGAATGAGTGATGATCTTTAAATAGACTAGAAGATCCATGAAATCCTTTGACTCACTTGATCTTTTGACAAATCATGTATATCATCAAGTCTAAAGCTAGGATCTCTTTCGATTTCAATCATCATGGTTCCTTTCAATTTTGCCCATTCTTCACCACCATGCATTGCACATGTCATTCTGTTGTTTCACAAATCAAAACCATCGATCAGAACAAAAGTGATTTCCTCTTTCCATCAAATCTTTGAATTTAGATGAAACACATCCAAAGACTTACCTCCATAGATCAAATGGACAATTTTCACGTTCCTTTGAGATAGTTTCCATTGTACTAGGTGTTTTTGATGCGTTCGACATCTTGAGTGGTTTTTTGCGAAGTTGAAGTAGGATCTAGTAGGATTCAAGTCAAAATGGTCGATCTGATTTAGTTTTGACCTCCAGGCTCGGAGGGGTGTTCACGTGAAATACGATCTGAGACATACAGGCTTTGGCCGGTTATCCCAATACCCGACTACCGGTGCAGATACGGGTTTCCGTGTTTGTCAGGTCCGTACCGCGACGGACCTACTGACACGGGTACGTCTCACACTTCCCTCCGAAAGGAGTTCTCCGACTGGCAACGTTTCTGAAAACGACTTCGAAAAGTCGAAAAAAGATAATCATACCCGAACCATCAAGGATTTGGTTCGGAAGCAAATTGAAGAGGATCAAGGTTGAAGGAATTCATCATGAAACGCTTTCCATCTTTTAGAATTTGATTCGAATTTCGAATGCGTTAGAAGGGAAGAAATACGGTTCAGCAAATGAGTCTGACCGAGTCTGTACCTCGAGTTTATTCCTACTACCGAATTTGTATATCGATTGTTACTTCTACCTCAGTACATATGAGATTGCTTTCAAAGTAATTTATCCAATTTATGAACTTTTGAATCTCCCAGTTTGTCGACTCGAAGTGCCTCATGACATTTATTGTCACTTGAGGCGTTCAAAGATTTTTTATCGAAGCTTTTGAGCTATCTCCTGCTTTACGGGCTCATGCAGTATCAATCAGGTCCAGCACAGGTTCGAGGACGGAGTGTATTAGTTAGCATGTTGACTGTGTGACAGAATGTTTGTTATACTCTGTTATACTCTGGAGACTCATAAGCGGCCACCATTCTAGTTCAACAACGACATCAGAAATCATCTCATTTGTTCAACTCGGCATTTGTCCAGTAGCTACATCTTTGATTTATATTAGGAAGACAGATATTCTAGTGTTTCTAATACTCTAGCAGTATCTACCGATCCAAGTAGTTTACCAGTCTTGTTCTCTCTGAAATAAAATTGATCATGTCATGATAATTGTCATTGAGACTGAGGGCTCTTGTAGGCCAACAGAAATCTTGCCTTGTGAAAAAATATCATGTTGTAGTAGTACACTTCACATTTCCGGCCAAAGTGTCACGGTTCTGCATTTATCATCAGGTCTCAAAACCAGGAGGCCTTACATGAGGATTCACTCAGCTGCAAATCAAGTGAACACATCTTCTAATCTTGAAATTATGAACTAGAAAGATTCGAAGTAAGATTCAAGAAGACTCAAAGAGAACATGAACCGTTTTACAGGTATCATAGGATTGCCATGTAGAACTTTCCCAAAAATCAATGATTTTGCTCAATCATTCACAAACCCCCACAATGATAAGGAGACTGATTCCATAACATTGAGTAGGCAAGGAATTGCGCTTGCTTAATTATACATTGACCCATAAATCCTGAAATCGAGCTTGCAAAGAGATTGGATTTATATGTATAGACTTGACCAGATTTATAGGGAGGAAGTGCTCTCCTCAACTCGACGGCAACAAAACTATCCATAGTCAAATATCATCTCATTTGAAAAGTCAACTTGAGAAGTGTGGCATCAGAGGAGAATACAATTTTAGCTCCAGTGACCGAACTTAGTTTACTTTCCACAAGGAAGACAAAGAAGCTCTCTTCTGTATCAGATATCACAGTATATGCTCAGTTGATATGTTTAGATTTTATTATCTCTAAAGATACTTGAATATGTTGTAATTGTCTCTGTGGGTTGAAGATCTTGTGCAACCATTGAAACCACATCTTGGTACAGAACGATGTTTCTCTCAAATCCCGTAGCGAGTATAACTTACATCGAGGTTCACTGAGGGTCTCACCTTTTTGGAAACCGGGTCAATTGGACACTTTTTTTCGTTTGAAGTTACAAATTAGAAAGATTCATTATAAGATTGAGGTAGACTTGAAGATAACATGAACAGACGCGACAAGTATCGTGATATCATCCTGTAAGACCTTTCCAAAAATTGTAGATTACCCCTGACCATAAACATACTACATTGATGAAGAGTAGAGTGATTTTATAAGATAAAGGAAAAAATATTTTAAGTTTTCCGAACAGCTACATCCACCCCGAGGTCCTGAAATCAAAAATGGAAAGACATCAGTACACAACTCATAAAACTGAAAGGGAAGAAGCGCTCACCTTAATTCGATGGAACAAAGCCTATGAGGTTTTCATCTACATTCAACGCGCAAAATCGAGCTGTAATTGAAATCGACCAAAATCAAACAAATCAGTGAATGATCAAAGGAAGAGAGAATGACATAGAGATAGATGAAGAGGAGGAGAAAGGGAAAGAGAAAGAGACATACATGGTGAAGAGGTAGTGTCTGAGGAGTCAAATAGAACAAAGGGCCGCGATACTTCGACTTCAGAGGATTCGGAGACCTCGAATAATTGAATTGGGGGTACATATTCTCTAAGACGAGGTTCATAGATAGTACGAAGAAAGTCGGGGTCTTGTTCGGGAAAAGGTGGTGGTAGGTTGGTCATAGGAGGTTCAGTAGGACGAGTAACATTGTTTAAGGGAGCCCCTAAACAAGCAATAGGTGGAGAGATGGCGGGATGAAATCTATGAAGAGGAATATCGAGATCTTGGTTACAAGAGCGACGATTCATCATCCAGGATAAGAGTTTGATGAATGAAGAGTAGAGAAAGTAGAGAATAGGAAAGGTGAAGATGGTAAAGATAATATCGAAGATGAAGAAGGTGAAAAAGTTGGTGACAGGACGAAGTTCAAGATGACCAAAGTTTAATAAGACCATATGAAGACAGACGGAAACTATAAGATATACTGGAAAAGCGCGAAGACTATCATGAAAGGAAATCTTGCTAAATTGGGGGAGAGGCATGTTTGGAATCAGATAAGTTGGTTAAGTGAGATTGGAAGTGAAAGGTGAATAAAAGTGAAAGGTGGATTGGAGGAATGGAAGTGGAAGTTGGTGGTATGGATGATAAAGTGAAATTTGGATGGCACTTAAAGATGAACGGTATTTGTACGGCTCAGATACTGAGATCAGCTTCAGCGCGCGGCACGTGAGTCATCTTTTTTATTTGGATCATAAATCTTCTATACACGTGAAGAAAATACAGATGTAGTTTCGCTGATTGGCGCGAGCTAAACAATTTATGTCAGATATGAAGGCAATGGGATCAAAATGTTGTAGTTGGCTTTGGAATATTGGTCGAAAGAACCTTTGTCGCGCTCCTGGAATTTGACAATCAAAGCTCACCATTAAACGTATCAACCTACTCAACACATCACGTCAACAAAGGGAGATATTTCCTGTGTCAATGTACGTATTCAACATAGCAATCAATGATCATATAAAAAGTCTAATATCCTGCACTTCCAGGTACATGAGATCCCTTCCGGATCTGATTTTACCGTTGATACCTATATTTTGCTTGCGCTACTCCGCTCTTTGTATATCAAGAGTTTTTATACCCTTATATCGGAGGTTGACAGCGGATGTATGTCTCATACCAGAACAGATAACTACTTCAATGACTTAGTATCTTCCGCGGTTCCTTCCTCAAATCACCCAACTTTCACAACACAAACACGACTTCTTGCATCTTTAGGACCATAAAGCTTATATGAATGTACAAAAAATGCAGATATACCCTTGGTGATTGGCGCGAGCTCAACAACATACACCAAAAATGGGCTCAATTTACTTTAGTTGCTTTAGAATTTTCGGCTACACAAATGTTTGGTTCTTCTCTCGATTCGTCTAGTGAAAACCCGTCGCGATTGTATTGAAAGACTAATGATCTTATTTATATCACCACAATGAAGGGAGATAATTCGATTTCAATGTACCTATCCAACTCGATGATCAAAAAGCAAAGAAAAGGTTTGAATGGACGCACATCTCAGTCCGTGAGCTCCCTATGTGTCTATTTGAGTGTTGATGTCTATGTTTTAATGGTTCCAATCGTCCTTCGTTTTGGAAGAATTCAAATTTCTTCATCTCGGAGGTTGGGAAACAATATTCTCTTATACCTACAGCGATAATTACTTCAATGCCTGATATACTCCGGTCATTTCTCCCTCGAATTACCTAAATCTCACACGAACCCGAGAAGATTGGCTGATGTGTTCATAACTTCCTCAATCACTAATCAAGACTGAAGGATATTGTAGAAGATTTTTTTTTTAAAATATGGATGATTATCTTGAATCTCAAAGCGGATGTCTTCCACATGGAGATTCACTGAAGCTCTCATCCTTTTGGAAACTGGATCAATTGGGCACATTTTAGTTTCTAAAGTCTGCTTCATAACATTTTGGCAATCACTGAAATCCACACACACCTTATAAGCTAACTGATTAAAGAAAGATTTGAAAATTAACCAAGAATGAAGTGGACTTTTTCTTAGGTATCCTGTCAGTGCCACTTGATTATCCATCCCATTGATCCATTGGGTTTGTAGAGAGTTGTGATCACAAATGATTAAGTCCTGGTATATACAGAATATTTGTAACACATTGGACTCAGTCATGGAACGTGATGAAGTTTTCCAAAGATGATGATCTATTCTGTAGGATTCTGAAAAAAATATAAAGTTGGGGGAAAGGTGCTCATGCCTTGGTGAGACTCAGAGGCTTCTCTGCTACACGATCAGGTTCCTTTCTCTTGAGTCAAGTACGATATTGTTGCTTCTACTATCTCATCTATACAAACCATAACTCCAGTCCAACAAGTGTTCTCAACGTGTGTTCATTCTGTATAACCTGCTACACATGGGTTCGATCTGGTCCGATAACTTTTGCCGTATTGGCTTTGATGGATTATATCAATTGCTTAAAGGAGTCTCTTGGGTTGAAATTAGTGGACCAGGGCTTTGAGCAAGGTCTGAAGGAGTTATACAATAGAAGTGGATTTCAGGATGACACGTGTCTATGTATTTATTCAATTCTTGTTATTGCATAAGCCCGGAACCTTCAACACACCTATATCTTTTGACACATAATCAATTTACTCCGGCAGTCGTCTTCAATTTTTTTCTAGAAAGACACTGCAAAGAAACGTAAAGCGATTGTTCTTTTTTGGGATGGGAAGGAGGGATGTGGTAAACCACAGATACTGACGACTGACTACACAATATATGTATATAAAATAGAAAAAAGTAGAGCTAGATTGAAATAACAAAAAAAAGCGAGATGGAGACCAAAAAAAAGAAGTAACTCCAGATTTTTTTTCTCAAGGACAAAAGATCGATTAAGTAGCAAGTACTTTAACTTTACGAATAATACTTGCTGGATCTAAACCTTGATGAAAGATTTGAGCACTAAGTCCACCACATCCTTCTTTGTCGGTTCCCATATAACCATATTTAGGTGTTAAACCTCTTTCTAATAACCAAGTTCCCATCTTACTACCTAATCCCGTCTTTTTATTTAAACTTTCAACTACTAAAACGAATTTTTGATGTCCATACTCATTCATGGCTTCTTCATCAATCACATTCAAGGTCGATTTGTTGACCAATCCAACATCAAATCCTTCAAGTCTAAGTCGATCTACTGCATCTAATGCTCGGTGAACGATTTCTCCAAAGCAAATCACTGTACCAAGTTTTCCTCGTCGGATAAACTAAAGAAAAGACCCCCGTTCGATTAGCTCCTCTCAACAACTTTAGATATTGGTTGAAAGCCGAAACTCACCTCATCTTTTCCTGGTACGAATTCATAATCATCACCATAATAATGTTCTTGACTGTTCTCTTTCAAAATGAAAGGAACTTTGGATCGAGTTGAGAAAACAAATCGAAGACCAATGTCCCAAAACACTTTGGTCACAATAGCCGTCATTTGATGCACATCGGCAGGGAAGTACATTCGAGTGGGGTAACCATCTTCCAGACCGTTGTCAGCGAAAAAGGTGTTTAGTCCAAAGTGACCTATCGTATTCCACATCGTCCATAGCAAGTGATGATTAGCATGGATGCAACGGATGAAAAGACGTGCGAGGTATAACTTACATGTGTTGTCACACATTTCATCGACACCACTGTGAGAGAAATGGCAAAGGACATTGCACATGTTGAGTCTGAAACAAGAAGCATAGAATTACGAACCGATTAGCAAAGCTCTTATACGTGCCCTGTATTTGAAGAGAAATATAAGGCTTACCTAGCCATAGTGATCTCGGAACAACACATTTCTAGGAAAGCAGAAAAGGTACTAAAGATACCAACTTTTCCTTTTTCGAAACCAAATCCAGCAGCAGCACAAAAGTTACCACGTTCCATGATACCAGAAGGAATAAAGATTTCAGGATGAGATTGATGAATGGCCTTAAGACCAGTTGAACCTTCGAGATCAGAGTCGATGCAAATCACTTTGGATTTAACGTCCTCTTTCGACATCTTGTCTAAGACCATGTTGACGGCTTTACCGAATTGGACACGACAGGCGTCCTTTTCTTTAGTACTACCGGTATATAGGTATGGCGAGGCAGATGGGGTCAATGACTGGAGGATCTTAGCCACGTTATCACCGTATTCACGATCCTTGAGGTCTTCGAACGCAGAAGCAGATGAGTAATTAGCTATGAGACAAGTGCGATGGTCGAAAGAGGGAACCTACATTTGATGGCTTTGTCAACAGGTATGACGTCATGACCGTGCGAAGTGCCTTCAAGGCCTTCGATACCAGGGCACATCACACGTTTGGCGATCAGTGCAGCCGGTCCATCATGTTGAATCACTGAACAAAGTCCACCCCAAAGGGAGTCCAAGTTTTCACCCTCAGCTCGGAAGATTTTTAAGCCGTGGCCTTCTAATGTCTTTCCAACTTCGTAACCCTTGAGATAGTCACTTGGGTGACCAGCAATTGTGACATCGTTATCGTCAATCAACAATTTGATGTTGAGTTTTTGAGCCACAGCGAGTCTGGCTGCTTCGGCGTCATTGCCCTCTTGTTGTGAACCATCTGAACCGAGACAGAACACGGTTTTGTGTCGGTTGGCGAGTGCGATACCGTTGACAAGAGGCCCTGGAAGTCCAAATCCAATGAAAGATACAATGAGTATACTCTTGCTTCGAAGAGTGGCGAATATGAAATCACTCACACATGTGGCCCAATCGACCACTACTGAACTTGACACCAGGGGTGAGACCAAGTTCTGGATGACCGGGAAGTTTCGACTGAGCCTCACGGTAGTACATCAAGTTCTCAGGCGGGAGGTGTCCATGAAGGGCAGAGAGGAGGTATTGAGTGGCAACTCGGTGACCTGCTTCATCGAAAACGGTGTGATCGAATTTCTTGGAATCGGGGTCACTTGCAAATAAGGCAAGCAAAAGGACCACTTCTGGCACAGTGTCGAAAGGGCCTGTAATTGGAAAAGTACAAAAGTCGATGAATTAGTCAAGGTAAAAGGTTGCAACAAAACAGAAAGTGATCGGAATATCATTCTCAGAGCCGATCAATCAAAACGCGTATAATGATCGGATTGGGTCATGAGAAGGAAAACCACGACGGATACAGTCGAAAGTGATCGAAAACAGTTTCGGAAGTTTTAGGGATGAGACTTACCACCAGTATGACCACTAACACCTCTTGCGGCACCAGTAGCAGTGAAGAAGACGATAGTATCTCTGAGAATAGAGATATTATCGAGTAACTTTGATTTTTGTTCTTGAGAAAGTTTAGGTTGAGAAGGATCAAGAGTGACTTTGTTGAAACGCTCAATGAATGGGATTGGGAATGCAGGAACAGACATGATGATATGATAATCTGACTGGTATTAGATTGAGATATCTAAAAGAGGTTGGATGAAGGTAAAAGGGTGAGTGGTTCTCTAGTCCAGAGAAAGTAATTAAATCAAAGTGGAGGAGTATTACGTAGCTCGGTTTGATTTTTAAATTTAAATACTTTGAAACCAAGACTTTAAAAATTGGATGGGGTAAGAAGTTTCGATACTTAAGTGTAACAAACTAAACATTCATAACTTACCACTGGGGTTTGGTTTATCTCTCATGCCAAGTTCGATTCATGGGGTGTACCCCCGCAGTTTTACTGTTAGTCCTTGGATCGTCCGTGCTGCTGATGCACGGCCACTTTGATGGCGTTGCATATGGGTCCCACCTGGTCCCACACGATCAAATCTTACAAAGTGCTATGAAGAAAATATTTGCCTCACTCTTGAAATTATCTTGGGTGTCAAACGTGGAGCTGATTTCAGATCAGGCTCACCTTCAGGCCAAGGTCAACTCCAATTATACCTGCTTCCGGGTTTAAGCTTATTAGAGTATGTCACTCACACTGTTTTACATCCTGCCGTATTTCCCAGCGCTGGTCGCAATTTCAGTTTTTGCCTGATTCTCGAGCTGCATCTTAAGAGCACCCACTATGGGTGCGTTAACGAGGTGATTTAGCGTTACCGTAACGCTAAAATCCAGACAGGTCCACTACGGACCTGTTTTAGACATGCAGTCCGTACTGCTGCGTTAAATCTTGCACCCCGCGTGCTCAGATCTACGCAAGCCTACGACTTGATTTATCGTACGATAATCGGTCAACAACTGCCTTTTCCAAAACATCAAATCCCAAACTCCACAATTCAAGACTTCAAATCTCAACGTTCAGACCTCGACACCTCAACTTCAAAGTTCAAACTTGAAAACTTATATAGTTTCCGAGCACGTTGAGTGCAGTCTTGATAAGTCTCGATCAATTCAGATTTGAGTGCGAGGAAGCGGAGGTGGTATGCGAGGTTTATCAAACAAGAAGTCAAGACTAGTTGATGTTATTATTGTTGTTCCTATTGCTATTTGAAGACTTCTGAGATAATTGATCTTTGGGAAAAGATTATGAGGAATGTGATGATTCGTTTCAAGATCATACCACTGTGGATCTGGTTGACTCACAGTGATTTATCGTTGGTAAATCAGGTTGTAAAGCAGCTCATAGTGGTTTTTATGCGTTTACTAATTTAGTTGTTACACGCATGATTAAATTTCGCGGTCGGGACCGCAAAATTTACGATAAAACACGCCCACCATAGTGGGTGCTCTAAGGTGCTGGTGCAATCCAATAATCCCTGCTAATATGTAAATCCACACACTACAAATATACAGCATGTTATAACCAAGTCAATCCCAGGCGCTTCCTGCAGAGTCCGCGGGCTCCAAAAGATGGCTACGCTCTGGGGATGGACTGATTAAAGTTAGATGCTATCACTGTAAACATCATTCAACTTCCCCAATTTGGAAGAGGAAAATGATTAATAGTACAGTTTTTCATAAAAGAATCTAATACTGCACACCTGAGCCATTTCACCCACACTACATATGCGCAGCAAGCTGAGTCAATAGTTGTCTATCATGTACATACAGGTCTGCTCAGTTTTTTGCCCATCAGAATAAATAAATCACATGTTATACCACATGTAACTTTTTCGACTTTGGAATTTTTTTCCCAAAAATTTACTACATATCATTCTGTAGCTGCTCAAGCAATATTGTTGAAGCTATGTCTTAGTAACAGAAAGTGTGTTACATGCAGTTGAGTTGATGAGATCACACCAAAACATTGAGTCAGTGTATGTAGTCAATCTTTTGGAAGCTTTTTTCAATCTGAAAGAAGTTACAGCATGTATTACATATGAAGAACTTATCCTGATGAGCAGATAACTGAGCAGAACTGTATGTACATGATAACCACATATTCACTGAGCCTGCTACACATATGTAGTGTGGGTGTTATGGTTCAGGTGTGGAGTGATAGACCATTTTATGACAAATCATACTCCCAATCATTTTTTCCTGCCCACTTGGGGAACCCGAATGATGTTTGCAGTGTATGTTGTAGTGATCTGGTTTTGTAAAGGATTCATGTATTTGTAGAAAACATAAGCCAGGCTTATTCAAATGACAATCATCCTTAAGGTACCTGTTAGCCAACAACAAACCTTCATCTAGGTACATCATAAGTGTTTATACATTAACATGGGCACTACCTCACTTTTTCAACTCCCCAAATATCAAAGTGCGTTCAATGAAATGTGTCCAAGGTAATTAATTTCCTTACATAAATATAATACTTCTTAGAATTATCAGATGTAGGACCTCTACATCTTCATTATATCCAGTGCAAACAAAATCTCAATCTACCGACCCATACTCATTTTGATACAAAGTCACATCATGAGCATTAATATTCTCAAATAGCTTGTATAGGTTTTAATCAGATATAAGTCCTACCGCAGTAGCCATGAAGCAAAGATAAAAGAGGTACACAAAAATAAGACAAATAGCAAACATATTTATAAGCAGAAAACTAACTACCTCATATCTGAAGAGTCAGGACATGTCATTCTAGGTTTGATTTTGTTGCTGGACAAGGCAATTCCACTGGCCATATCAAGGATATGGGGTTAGGAAAAGGATGAAAAAGCAAGAATGAAATGAGAAAACAATGAAATGAGAAAATGAAATATCAAGGATGGTTTGCAATGGGGCATGATGATGTATTGAATTAATAATTGGTGATTGTCTGTAGGCGCATTTTGCAAAAAATGATGGCAACTGACAAGATGAGAAGACAGGCGCCTTATTAAATAGTGTCAGGTGGCCAGGCAAAGTTCAAAAGCAAGAAGGACTTGATTGAAATGCATCCCACGTTCAAAATCAGTGACATTCACAAGCACCAACAAAAGATACCTTGAAGGCAACCATCAAGATTGGGCAAGATCTAACTGTAATGCATTTCTATGGTGTTCACGATGAAAATCACCCATTTCCCCCAAGTCGGAATGGGAGGAAGATGATGAGTATAGTTTGTCATAGACTGATCTATCACTACAGAATTGAGCCATAAAACCCACACTACATATGAGCATCAGACTGAGTAAATAGGTGGCTATCACATACATACAGGTCTGCTCAGTGGTCTGCTCATCTAATTAAGTAAAGCACATGTGATACACTTTAAAAAAATTGCCCTACAAATTGATTACATATACCTCCATAGCTGGGCAATACTCTTGAAGCCATTTGTCAGTAACAGAAAGGGTGTTACATGAAGTTTGGTGGATGAAATTACACCAAAAATTTGATTCAGTGTACAGCTGTTCCAACAAAGATTGATTTTTTTGGAAATCTCGCCAATGTGCAAAACCCGGGTTTTGTCTCTCACTTGATTTTGTCTCTCCGCTAATTGGAAGAATACAGGAAATAATAAACCTGTAACCAAGTTTTGTCTTTGGTTTTAGCCGCTGCGGAGACAACTTTCTCCAAAGAAAAGTTGTCAACCTTTCTTGGAACGGCTGTATGTAGACATTTTATGGAATGATTTTCTCAAGTCAAGAAGAGTTACAGTGTGTATTACATATGATTGAATTATCCAGATGAGCAGATAACTGAGCAGATCTATATGTACATCATATCCACCCATTCACTCAGCCTGCTGCACATATGTAGTGTTGGTGTTATGGCTCAGGTGTGCAGTGATAGATCCTTTTATGACAAACTATACTCTTAATCATTTTCCCATCCCCACTTGGGGAAAATGTATGGTGTTCACAGTGGTTGTTCTTGAAGGCATTGCCAACTGTTGCACAAGAGTTACTGGAGCAAGCAAAATTGGGCAGCCTGCTTTAGTATCAGACTTAGCATTTTCAAGATAGCACATCTGTTTGACCAACAAAAAAGACTTGGAGGTGTACACAATTGCACTGGCGGCCTTTTGGGGTACAGCATGAGTAGGAGGCTGGTGGGACAACACACTTGCTGAACTGGGAAGATGTTCTTTAGGATCAAAACCCCTTGAATTTGAAGATAGTGATCAATTATTCAAAGACAGCCAAGCCAGGAGAAATTCAGACAATTTCCCTGTGCCAACAAAAATTGAAACTTGACCCTGTTTGTGTGTTGAAGCTCCTGTATAACTTCTGTGCTAGACTCCCACTCAATCTGCTGTTTGTTTCTGCAAGAATGAGTGATGGTAAAATGGTGGTTTCCAAAAAATCAAGTGGTAATCAGTCATTCAAAAGAAATCTGGAAGTTGTACCAACCTCCAAAAGATCAAGTCCTGTATGGCCATTTGTTCCGCATTGGAGGTACATTGCTTTGTTGGAACCTACACCACGGGGCTGATGGCACGTGACACTCACGCGAATTTTGACTCTGCCAATAAAACACATACTGTCTACATCGTCGTACCCAATGTGAGCTACACGTTCCAGCCAGTGTGGGCTTCACTCAATCTGATCATGTGGCTACAAGATGGTGGCTCACCCGCTCATTGGGTGAGTCAGTGAGTCATCTCATATCATAACATGCTGAGATGGCTCACTCGATGAACAGATGAGATGACTCACATTGTCAGGAGTGTGAGTCAGACTTTGTGTCAACCAGGTGAGATAGCTCGCACTCCTGTAGTGCAAGCAAATTGGATTTAGCTGGTGAGTGGTGGCTCATTCCAGTGCTCTTCCAGCCTCATGATGGCTGATAGCAGCACCCGCAGATCATGTTGGGATGTTTTGATCATTGCTCACGGAATGAAATTGAAAATAACAACTGATCTATCTATTGCATTGACAAAAACTGCAAATGGTAATTACACAATCAAGGGAGATTATCTTGAAAAACAAATGAGAAAAAAAGACAAGAAAAAAGACGAGAAAATGATCTTCAAAAATTAGTCTTTGATGGATATGTTTGATGATTTGGTGTAGTTAATAGCTTGTTTTCATTGGTTGTTTCTGTAAGAAATGTTTATCAAGCAATCAACCAATGGATTTATGACCAATGAGAGTCAGAACTTGAAGAAAAGATTGAGATGATGAAAGACTTACAAACTAGGAGATTGATCCAAGTGTATGGGGCTGTCAGGGGCTATCAGAACGATGAGAAGATAAAGAAGAGACCAATGATGTACTCAATGAATGCAAAAACGAACAGGGAAACATTTGAAAAATCTTTGA